AACCTAACCTAACCAAAAAAAAAAAAGAAAAAAAAAGAAGAATAAAAATTATATCTAAAAATTTCATACGTCAATTACGTCTCTCTACGTACAATTATTGATATAAGACAATTTTATTTCTAACTTAAGTCTTTCCAAATAAACTCTCATTTACTGAATTTCTTGAAAATCTCATCGAAGTAAAGCATCGTCGAATGTTCCTTAACTTTCTAGCCCCGTCGTCGACGTCGAAAGAGACAGGAAAAAGGGATTGATAACAAGAGTTGGGCTTAATTACACTTAGGCGACGGTTAATTTTAGAAAGGCGCGGGCCAAACAAACCGAGAATGGTGTTGCATGGCAGCGTGCCCCGGCTTGATTCGTCACTGGCTGCAACATAGGCGCCACTGGCCGCGTGTACATCGGCTGTTATCGCGGGTAAACACCGGTTGGCTCTAAAACCCTCTCTCGACGGTGGTTCCTATCGCTCGGTCTCGCCTCGGCTGTTCAATTAAATGCACCCACACGTGCACCATATACGCGTAACGTGCTCGTACACACGGAAGAAATTCTCCTTGCAAGGTGACCGACTGATTTTCCTGGTAATATCGTGTGTCCGAAGAAACTGACCTCTTTCGTAAGAGCGAGAAGTTTATCGTGTGCTTTACTTACGTTTTGAAATTGTTATGAATACGATTGCACATGGTCGTCGTTTGAGCGAATGTTTCCTCTTTTTTTTTTTTCTTTTCATCTTTATTCTTCCGAATAAAGATTCTTTTGAATATTAAGATTAGCCCCTTTGAAGACAACTCGTTTCAAATTTTTCGGGATTTATTGCGATTTATCTTCTAGTCCCCGATGTTTATTGTGGATTTATTTTTTAATCTCTCAGACTGAAATTGTTACACGTAGATCGTTAAATATATCCATAAAAATACAAAAAATTGTAATATGTGCGAATGTAATGTGTGGGATCGAAGAATTATTTTTAAAAATAATTATTATTAACAAAATTAACATTAGTATCCGTATGTGTTAAGTATTTTCAAAACTTGACATCTTGTCATCGAAGTGAAAATAAAAAAAATCTCGATTATCACTCGAATCGTACAATATTAGATCAAGAAATCCACTCATTTTATCATATCGAGCGATAGAATTCCAAGTTCCACGATATTTTTCACGATAATATATCAAAAAGCTCAACTCTGGACGCCATCTTATCGCGTCAAGCTTACAGTAAACGAATCTGAATTTTCGATTAAAATTTCAACATAAAAGATATATCAAATAGTTCAACTTCAACATCTTATCGTATCTAATTTAAATTGAAAAAAAAAAAAAATCTCGGGGGAAAATTTCGTCTCATTTCCCAATATTGACGAAAATTTCGCGATAATAGAAGGCGGAATATCTCCACAGTTTTTGATACAGCCTGTATAGAAGCGCAGAGCCGGCAAACAGGCACGTAGATCGAAAGGCAAACAATCAGAAGTTTACCGTCGGTGGCCGGCTTTCTCGTGCGCTACGCGTGTCGTTAGGTATGCGACACGTATGGTATACCTACACCGAGGCGCACGGTCGTAGAAAGGCCGTTTGAAGGACAAGGGTCATGTCTGACGCCGATATACATATATAGGCGACACGGCCACTGCCTTTACTGCTTTACCTTTACTACCACGCGACCGACCACATGTGCGTGCGCCTTTCTGCCTTCTGCCGCACTCTTGCTCCAGCTGCACTCCCATACGTCACGCTGGAATGGTCCTGCGAGATCTTTTCACGGATATTAAAGATAAAAAAAGGAAAGAAAGAAAGTTTTACTCTTGATAATTGGAATTTAACGATCGGCTCGTTTGAAAGAAGAATTATTTTTCTTTTCAAGTTTAAGCCGAGGTGAGAGTGACATTTTTTTCCAGTTTGATAAGTATTTATACAATGATCGAAAGAATTTGGACAAACGTTTGAAGTTTCGAATTATTACTTCTTATTCGATATTTCGAAATTCTGTCGTGTGATTTGCGCTTTACTTTAAGTTCTCGTTAATTTTTGAAACTAACTAACTTCTCTTGTCGATATATATGATCAGCCAATGTAAATAATCGTTTCAAATTTACCGCCTTTAAGATCTCGTACTGGAGATAGGGATATAGGGATTTTCTAGGAATATTAAAAACACCTTTTCTACAATTATTACAATGGAGAATGACTTTCTTAATTTCCTTTCCAAACATCGCGAATAATCTCGATCCATCTCGCTCGTGAATCTTGAGAGGGGGAAAAAAAAAATCGGGCCGAGGAAAGTTAAAATCCTAACCTCAAACGCTCAACTTCAAGAGAGAATTTCGAGCGGAAAAAGATGCCTCCCGTGTATTTACGATACGCGTTATCGCTTGAAACAACACACCACCACTATTAATAACAATTATATATCAGCAGGCCAGTAATGCTATTTTCTTTCGCATTCTCGCGATTCTTTCGTTGGTGATAGCGGCGCGTGCGCCGACTACGCACCGCGATCGCACGCACCGTGTGCATCGTGCGTGCGTACACGCGCCTTCTCTATCGCGGGTGCACCTACATACGTAACGTAGTTAGCCGGCTTGGCCGTGCCAAGGTTGGGAACCTTATCTAAGAGCTCAGGGTGTTTGACCCAACTGGGAAAACACATTGGCACTCGACGGCGTTGCACACACTTCTCGTCACATGGTTTCACGCTCGATTCTCGCACCGAGTCTCATTCACGATCGACCAAGGAATTACAAGAAACTACGAAACCATCTCCTCTCTTTTTCCTTTCTTTCTTTCCCCCTCTTCGTCGTCGTTGTATTCGTAACGAACGTGTCGAGGACGGGAGAGAGGATAGGATGGAGTAGAATTTAAAACGAGTATTTGAAATAAGGGAGTAAAAGCTAATTAATGGCTAATGTATACTTTTTTTGTTCTTGAAAATAAGGAAAAAGAGGATTTTGTGAAAAATTTATTGATTATCGTAAACAGAAAAAAGAGATATCTCGAAAATGATGAAATGTGTGATTATATATATATCGTAGATGTAAAATTGTATGCAATATGAGAACTCTAAGCATTCTCTTCCTTGGAAGACGAACAGTTGAGGTCTGGCCATAACAGAATTATCTACTTAATTCTTTAAATCGCTATGGGGATTAATTGTATTTAGAAGAAGATTTTATTATTAATTTTATTGCAATAATTTAAAAACTTAATGATTATTTTGATTGATTGGGGTATTTTTTGATAACAGTAGGTTATTTTAAATTTAAATACAAATTTGATATAAATGAATATCGATTGAAATGAAAACAAATTAAAGATTATATAAAGATTTAGTTAAAATTTTTATCTCGAGGTCTGATTAATATTGATATTTTCTACTTGCACTATCATCAAGTATAAGATTATATAACGTCATAAATCAAGAAAAATATATTTGATTATTGCGCTAAATCTAGTGTCAGTATTATTCATTAATTAGTAAAATTAATAAATTAATAAATATGCAAAATATGATACATTTTCTTTTTTTATTAAAAGTAAAAGAATTTTAAACGAGCATATGAAATTAAAGAACTGAAGAAATTTATTAAAGAGAAATAATTTGTTTCTTTAAGTACGAAAGTCTATTTAGAATGATAGCAAATCTAAAAGATAGAATCATTGCAATAGATTAGGAAGTATGGTATTTTTTAATACGGATTTATCGTCAAGGCTGTTCCTGTAGGTCGTGAGAATTTCGAAATATTCCACGATAAACTGAATGATGTACACTATCTCAGACGACAGCGATTAGCTTTATCAGGTGAAAACATCATCTGTAAATCTGTGATTTCATCAGAAAGACGATGTGGATACGCCGATCGATACAAACAGATAATTATATTAATCGCAGAAAACTCGAGACTCGAGGAATCAAAGAACCTCAGTTTGATTAGTTTCACCAGAAGACAACTTTACGCGCGGTACATCGATTGAAACAGATGTTTAAAATTTTCTCGTATATTTCGTAATTGCAGATAACGATGAACTTTTTACATGAACTGTTTACTTTCGCTTCTTTTTGCAACGACGAATCGATTAAATAATGATTATTGAAATCATACTAACGTACCAAAAATGCATCTCTTCAAATCTTTTTAAAGGAAAAAATGTTACTTCGTTTATTAATTTACCAACAAAGTATCTCTAAAAATTACTAAATTATATAGATTAAGTAATAATTATTATATAAAAAGAATTTATTTCATCATTGCGAATTTTTATCCTAAAAAAAAAAAATTTAATTCTTTTCAAATTTCTATATTCACGATGTTTATACTCACCTGTATCGCGCAAACATTTCAAAAATGCAGGGATCATAATTAAAACGTTGTTTTCGATTGCCTGGCAATCGTTGATACAAAGTGTTGGAAGATTGCCCAATTTTGGTCAACGAATTTTCCGCAAGTAAAGATCCCCGCCCGCATCCATAAGTGTGTAATCGCGTTCAACTCGTCGATTTCTGGCAAGGATTTCCTCGCGGGGCCAAAACTAATTTCGATCCCGCCACGTGCTTCCTTCTTTGCGCCCTTCTTCCTCCTTTCCCTTCGCCGCCGGAGAATTTATTAGCAGTCGTTATTTACCCCCTACGAATCTTCCGCTCGTACACAAATGATTTATGGCCGCTCGTTTCTGCGAATTCTCGGGCGATACGCGCTTTTTATACCATTTCAATTTATCCCCTCGCGACGACACCCTCGAATCGGAAGACTGCCGGACCAGAAGTGGCTCGACTATTGAAAATGGTCGGGCGTGGATCACATGCTCTTAATTGCGCTAAAAGCCATCCATCATCCCTACGTTTCCCCCTTTTCTTCGTTTCGCGAAGAAGATTTATATGGCTCCGCTTATATACGCAGCTTCTTTAGATATCGATGCCTTTCTGCAAGAATGAAAATTGAAAAAATGGGATAATATTTGTTAAAGACGAATCAGAGAATCAGTTCTTTGACATTAGAGAATTATTACACTGGAAGTAGTTTACGACAAAGAGTTTTCTATGGATAATAATTGCAATTAAAAATAATCGTGCACATCCCGAAAAATACTTTGCAATTCGAAGGATTTCAACTGGGAGGCTGTTACGAATGCAGATCTTAAAATCATATCGCAATAGTGTCTCGAGACATCGTTGTTTTTTTCCTCTTATTGGCGTTTTCACACACTTTGGTGCGAATAATTGGTATGCTGTTGTAGAACAGATTCTCGGGGATCCGCGAACGTCCACGATTTCCTGAACCGTTAGAAAAATTTTCTGCACCCATGCTGGAGAGGTCTCGAATCGCTCGATGGTCGATTGATTATGAATCGCGCGTTGCGAATCGTCTGGCAAATGGCATCGCGAAAGGAGGCTAGTGTATTTAGTACTTCGTGAGGCCATGAAACCGTAATGCCATGAATTTTTTTTTTTCTGTTAATTCTGTTCAATTATTGAATAAATTACTATTTATAATTCGTTCCTATATGTAATATTTATGAAATTACGATTGATCGATCTCGTTTATTTTCCATCAGAATTTTGTAAATTAAGTTGAATTTGGGAAAAGTTATTGATAGTAAATGATAAGACAAGTGAATTACTATATATGAGCCAAAATTTCACTAGATTTATCAAAAAAGATTCACAATCATAAGTATTATCTATTCAGAAAAGAAAATATTCATAAAAGAAATATTATGTAAATATCGATTATGCTCAAAAATTAGGAAATAAAAATTTTATTGAAAAAGTAAAAATTCAGAAACAGGGTTAAGTCGAACGCGGTTGACGAGTGATGAGTCGCCATTTAGTCAAAGGAGGAGAACGATCCTTCGAATAAAATTGCTAGATGTATAATCTGGTTGGAAGACATGAAATAATACAGGACGGGTACACAAACGAGGACAGTTAACTGCAAGCTGCAGCAAATTCCACAATTGCTCTTTTATCATGATCTTCAGAGTACCAGGCAGAATTACTTTATTACAGGGCTCAATTTGCTTTCAATTTTCCAGAGTTGCTCGCATGAGAGATGTATGCGAATGCTTGAGTACGTAATCCTTTGCTCAAACTCATTAAACCGTAATTTTGTTAGGCGAACGTTTTGTTGACAACTACACGCGAATTATAAAAAAAAAAAAATTGAGAAAGAAGAAACAATTTATTTTTTATTTATTTTAACAATATATTTGCATTGACTTATTTAATGATGATGTTATATTTTAATTCAATATATTATTTAAATATTAATATTATAATTTTAAATATTTTCATAGAATTATCTTTTTATTGAATTATTATAAAAAGTGTGTTATTAAAATTTAATTAACATTGAAAAATATAAAACTATATGTTTTGTCATATAATGCAAGCTAAATTAATTTCATCAAAATTTTTCACTCTATTTGCATAAAATATCAAGTATAATTTAACATATAACTATCAAAGTTTGAAAAAAAGAAATATTATGTAAATATCGATTATGCTCAAAAATTAGGAAATAAAAATTTTATTGAAAAAGTAAAAATTCAGAAACAGGGTTAAGTCGAACGCGGTTGACGAGTGATGAGTCGCCATTTAGTCAAAGGAGGAGAACGATCCTTCGAATAAAATTGCTAGACGTATAATCTGGTTGGAAGACATGAAATAATACAGGACGGGTACACAAACGAGGACAGTTAACTGCAAGCTGCAGCAAATTCCACAATTGCTCTTTTATCATGATCTTCAGAGTACCAGGCAGAATTACTTTATTACAGGGCTCAATTTGCTTTCAATTTTCCAGAGTTGCTCGCATGAGAGATGTATGCGAATGCTTGAGTACGTAATCCTTTGCTCAAACTCATTAAACCGTAATTTTGTTAGGCGAACGTTTTGTTGACAACTACACGCGAATTATAAAAAAAAAAAAAATTGAGAAAGAAGAAACAATTTATTTTTTATTTATTTTAACAATATATTTGCATTGACTTATTTAATGATGATGTTATATTTTAATTCAATATATTATTTAAATATTAATATTATAATTTTAAATATTTTCATAGAATTATCTTTTTATTGAATTATTATAAAAAGTGTGTTATTAAAATTTAATTAACATTGAAAAATATAAAACTATATGTTTTGTCATATAATGCAAGCTAAATTAATTTCATCAAAATTTTTCACTCTATTTGCATAAAATATCAAGTATAATTTAACATATAACTATCAAAGTTTGAAAAAATTCGTTTTAAAAGAATTAAAGCAGACATAAAACACATAAAAATATTCAGTAATCACGTGATAGAAAATTGCAATGTCAGTATGCAGTATTCTTCATAAGATGTCAGGATTAAGTGTCCATTCAACACACATCACACTAGAAGGATATAATATTTTTATTACAAACATGACGAGGAAGTTTGAAGAGGTTATGGTAGTTTACTTCAGTTATCAGATCAACACAGTAGCATAAATCATCTTATTTAATATTTAAAATATCATAAACGATTGTTTATGATTAATATTTGCTGAAAATCCGAAAATATCGATTAAATCTATTACTTTGTAAGAATACTTTTTTTATTCGTCTTTTATTTCTACTGAGGTTCATAGTATCGTCGGTAATCGATAAAGCTAGTCTGAACATGCGAAGCTCAATAATGGTAAGTAATGTTGAATGGTCGTTAAATTATTTATATGTAAATATAAAATGAGCAAACGGCACTTATTAATAATTAATCGTGATATAACGGTATTCATTAGATTATTGTAAACGAAATAATTGAATCTTCAATAAAACATTTAATTTTTTTAATTAAAGTATGATTTATTTTTTAATTGGAAATTTTTATTTTTTGAAAAGTTTTATTAAAAAAAAAAATGTAATATTTACAAGATGATAAAATTTTTACTTTAATTTTTTTAATTACATTCATAAGAATACGAATTTGCATAAATATTTACAATTTAATCATAAATAATTTTTATCGCGATTTCATAAAATTTAAACACGTTTAAGAAAATGAATTCTATTTTAATCTATTACACGCTTTGATAAACAATCTGCCATTTTATAGTAAAACAATCGACAAAACGCCAATCATGTTATATTTGGTTAGCTTTGAGCTAAATTGATGTAGAATAAATGCTATTTGGCAAAATAGCACATATTTAGTTAGTAGATAATTGAAAGATTTTATACATTTAAAATTGACCAATATCGAATATTTTCTTCGTGAAAATCTATAATTGATCAATAATCAATTATCGATAAATATAATCGTATTGTACATAGAAGAAAGAAATATTAAAAAAAAACAATTTGATAACAACTTGATATTGAAGAATGTAATAGACAGATAACAAGTTTTTAATTATTGTAATTTTTTTTGATGATCAATATTTTTAAATATAATAGAATAATAATAAGCAATGGTGAAAATTCTAAGATAAGATGTTATAAATTATTAGTATTTAATGTTATTATAATTTCGATATTATACATGTTTCAAATTATTTTTTTTTTTATAAAAATATAGTTTAATAAAATTAAATAAAAACTTAGATAACTTTTTAAAGAAAATTTTTTTTAAATTAGATGTTTTTATTAAGATAATATCTTACTATATATTATAAAACAATAATATAATTTGTAATTAGCATAACAAGTATAACTGATCTATTCAGACATCAGAGTCTTTTGCCTCCGCGAATAAATTTATATAATTTCCATATCATCCATGTCAGCATACAATTTCAAAATGGGATGTTATATTAAAATTTTATGAATAATAAAATTTTCTAAATAGCAATTCATCTATTTAATTAAACAGAGATCTTTGCTGTCTTTATTCATTACTTTAGTTTTACTTAAAAGCATTTAACCTATAAATTTTGATCGAATATTTATTACTTTTAAGAGAATAAAAAATTTCTGCTGATATCAAGCTATATTCAAAAAAAAAAAAGAAAAAGAAAGAAAAATCAAACCTCTCAACAAACTTGAATAACATTTGATGAGAATGACCGTGTATATTTAGCGGCACGTGTGTCCATTTGCAGTCAAAACGCCATGATTGAATGGGGCGAGCTACGAGTTTGTCGAAAACGGCTAAAAGCTGGTTATGGATGATCATAGATAGACACGAAAATTCGTGGTTCGTCACGACAACGACGACGACCACGACGACGACGGCGACGGCGGCGGCGACCGACGCGACAAGCGTCCTTGCTCCAACCACTCGCGCTACTACCGATGACGTAATCGTCGCGATACCCCGCAATCTTGGCGCCGCGGTAAACTCGTAATATCTATTTTTATCTGGTAGAAGCAGGGGCCCCGCTCTGTCTCTTTCCCCTTGCGCACAGCCACGCTAGAACGTACTCTTCGACACACCCGTGTTCCACCGCCTCTCTTCTTCCTGACTCTTAACCTCTAAATTCAGCCTCCGCGCGAAATGACCAGTTTCTCGAACTCGACATGGTCTACCATCTTTCGTTATCTTCCTTCGTTTTTAAAATTTCATTTGCTTTTTATCGTCTTGCATAAATTCTTACTTCATTAAATATTGGTAATTCAAATTTCTTTCGAAATGATGGAAAATTGTTAAATTCAATTGAAATTGTGCAATAACAATTATGCGAAATATTATCTACTGCTGAGAAGTTAGCAATAAGTTGAAGTTCGCGAATCCGTTGAAAGATGGCGTAAACACGTTTTGATCGGGAACAGGTTAGGGTAGGTTCGGACGCCAATGTCGTGGCGACACGTTAATTATAGCAAAAAGTTACGATCGATTTATTGGTCAAGCCGTTTATCCTCCGCCTGTGTTTTGCATATTTAAAAGCGTTTTCGATGTTTCTTTTTAAGACTGTCTGATAAAATGGCGCCAATCAAGTCCACCTGTAATACGTTTTATCTGCCCCAGAATACTCTATATCTTATGAATGTTGACCGGTGTTATTAATCATCAGTTAAAAACGAAGAAAAGATACTAGTTGAATAATTTATGATTTAGTAAATTTTTATGTTGGCTAAATCGAATATTAACACCCGATATGTTCTTTGCAATAATTTTTATTTCTTCTATGAATAAAAAATAAATTGATATTGGTCATTAAGAAAGATATCATGAAACTATTTTTCATTTTATTGTAATGAATTAATTTTTTTTTCTTATGCTTTGTTTCCATTATGGTATCTTAAAATCAAAAAGATCTATTTTTTATCCGAAAAAAATCTTATTTTTGTGTCTATTTAAATTATAGTATTGCTTAATGTTTTGGAAAATTTTATCATTTTGATAAATTGAAAATATCGTTCGTTATATCCTATTCGTATATAAATATGTGTAACTTTTCATTTTCTGCGTCGTAGCAGATTCTTTTTCCTTTCTCCGTCTACTCTCTTGTCTACTCTCGAATCTGGCGCCGTCGTCTTCCCCACGACGGTTGGCGAGACGCGTGGGACTTTCCGGCGACAAGTCCTTTATGATACCGCTTGTACGCCCGCAGCCTCTCACCGAGTGAACACTTTTACTGAGAAAGAAAGACTCCTCGTTAATGACAGATCTCATCTTGTTTCGAGGCATGTCTGTATCGCGTTTCATGGAAGTTCTTCATAAAAACGGCAGATTAAATTCTTTGATGCCCACGCTATTGAGAACTTTCAATTAATAAACTTATAGTTGAATTTAAGTTCTTTCTTTTTATAAAAAGAATTTAAAAAAAGATAATCGTTATTATTAAAATTATATCTTTATGCCATGTATGTATATTATGCAAATGCACTTTGCCATATCATAATGTAAAAGAAGTTTACAAGAAGTTTACATACAATTTGTAACATTTTATTTTTAATAAATCCTAAAAAAGATAAAATTAAAAAGGTGGTGTATTTCAATTTTTGTTACTTGTATTTCATACAATATTTATTAAGAATTATGATAATGATAATAATGATAATAATTTAAAGTAATATTTATGTATTGCAGGTGAAACAGGACAAAAAGAATGGTGTACATTAGCATATTGGGAATTGGGTGGTAGAGTAGGTCGTCTGTATCCTGTAGAACCTTCAACAGTAAATGTTTTTGATTCCCTCCACGATGGTGATGGCCTTTGCTTAGCAACACTGGCTGAAAATCATGTTGCACCACCTGCAGTCCAAAGAACAAGAAGCAAAATTGGTCTTGGTAAGATTTTTTTTCATGTAATAGACATATATATTACAGTAAAAGTATGAAATAATTTAATAACATTTAATTACATTATCAATAAAATTAATGAACATAAAATTATCAAAGAAAAAATATTGTTGAAGATAAAAAAATATCAATTACTTATTTGTAGGTTTAATGCTTAGTCAAGAAGCAGATGGTGTGTGGGCGTATAACAGATCTGAGAGCCCAATCTTTGTGAATTCACCTACTCTGGATGATCCAGAGTCAAGAACACTACTTGTCTATCGTGTGCCTCCAGGCTTTTGTCTGAATATCTTTGATCGTACCAAAATTCTACAACTTCCATATGGTAATGGTACCACAAGAACAAGCAATCAGGCTTCAGGCTTTGCCTCTGGTCCTGTTGATATCAACTCCGTCCGTATCAGCTTCGCCAAAGGCTGGGGACCCAAGTACTCAAGACAGGAAGTCACCTCTTGTCCATGTTGGCTCGAAGTACTCCTAGCACCATGCAGGTGATCCTTACAACTTATTATGAAGGTACACAGTCTCGTCCGTTTGCGCCTCTTCTTCCTCTTTGTCGTCCTCCAAGAGGACCGATCTGTGAAACTGACGCAGCAGCGACGAAGCTCCGTCCTAAAGGCTGCCAACGGATACTCATACGACGTGGATCGCCGCCAGCAGTCTTACCAAAGTACGCCGCCATACATCCAGGAACAGCGTCGTTTTATTAACAGAAGAAAACGAGAATCATTTGACAAAAGCGTTTTATATTCTTGTGCCTATGAACGGAAGACACACAGTTTATACGTGGTACTCGATTTTCATTTACCCTAAAATTGACTAATCATTGACTACATTATATCGCATATTCTTTTTGATTGGTCAATAATACTGTTGTACTTTCTTGATAATGTTAAATGAGATTTTATAAAAAGTGAAGCGGTAATTCCCGCTAGGTCTAGTCAGTGGTATTTAATGTTTTTAAGCTTGATGTTAATGTGTCTTGCATTAAGAATATTATAATATAAACAACATTAACTGAAATCATGGAAAGTGCGAGAGTAAAATTGACGCGTCAATAACATCGCTCTTTTTTTATGATATTGATCATAAGTTTAATGTCTGTACTGTCTGGCCATGTCCTCGTTTATGATTAATCATTGTACTGCAAGGAAGCAGAAACTTGGGCTTCCGGTAAGGTCTAGTCAATGGTGTTTGAGAATATGGAAAACTCGTTGGTTACATGGATTGAAAATCCATTTAAATTATCAAGAAACGAGAACACTGCCAACAGAATCAAAGGAAGTACTTAGTGTTTTATGTTACCTTTAAAAAGACTTTTACTTTAATGATTAAAATAACAATATTTGTAATATAAATTTCCTGCTTTTATATTGAATTTAATCAAATACGAGGAAAGATTTGTTAGTTAAAAAATATAAAAAAATTTGCTCGATTAGAGATATCTTCGTCAGTTTATTGCCTATCTAATTAAGTTCTGCCGAAGATTTTTATTAATCGATGTTGAGAATATGAGAAATTTACAAAACTTTTCTCAATTTCTTTAATTTCGTATGCTGTAAATCGGTATTTCAACATTGAATTGTAATAATCTTGTAATGACATTTTCATGGACATTCAAATGTCGTGTACCACAATTACTGTTGTCTCCGATCGCCGTTCGGTGCTGTACATACGTATATGTACATACACTGTGCCTTCCCAGCTTCCTTTGTGGTGCAATGCACGAATGATAGAACGAATGCATGTGTGCGTGTATCTAAGAAAAGTGAGAAAAAATGAGAGAATTCCGCGTGCCAGCTACGTTTCGCACCAAAATCCCCGAGAGCTTCGTACTACAGTAATACGATACTGTGATAAAAGTTCGAACCAGGTCTCTTTTTCCTTCCTTTTTTTCGAACGCGTTTATGAAGCACCGACGATAAAAGAAAAGCAATCAATTTGTTAAAAATGTGTATAATATGTGCAAAGAGACAAACACATGCTTAATAAACAATAGTCCATAGACTTGAATCTAGAAGAAATGTTGAATTTATATAAAAGTACTGTTTTCTCGGTTAATTTTGTACAGTTTTGAAAGATATGACGAAATTAGTGTAAGTGAGTGGAGTTTTACAAATTTTATCGCGAAAGTCTTCATTAAGATCTGCCTCCAAATCCAAATACGTATATCAGCGTGAAAGAAAGGAACACATTATGCAAGTTAGCGGTTTGCGCATAGCGAAAGTAAAAAAATGTGACTGTTATGAGAGAAAAAAATGCATGTACAGTTCGGAACGATGATGTTATTATACGTGCATACGATGTAACATGTACCACCAGTCATACGTATTCATCCATACGCATACGCAATACAAGCATCTATAAAACACAATTGACTGATCGAATAGTTTTTTTTTTTCGAGCTATTAGTTATTTTTTTCGTACAATCGCTTTTATCGATATAAAAGCGGAAACATATGGATTGTAATCTATTGCGATACGATTCATGTGACACGCCGAACGATATATTGTGATGCGTATATTGTCGCTTAAATGTTATATATTAATGTGTATACATATGTATACAAAAATGTTTATAGGTAGCTAGTTATATCTATTGCAATGGTGAATAGTGATTCTTAGATCTATATATGAGGTTAGAAAGTTGGCACTCTTAGAATTACATGATATCTATAACATCGTTTTACGAAGTATCGTTAAACAAACAATGTTAACCTCGAAAATACTTTTGAAACGATTGTAATTATGGAAATGTATTCTTGGAACGCTTTATATATAATCATAACATATATTGATCTAAGAATTGCTGATGAAAATAACGACAAAGAAGGAATTTTTTGTCGAAAAGTCGTCTATTTCGGACAGCTACGTTGCTTTTTATAGTTTTTTTTTCTAACTTGCTGTTATAGTCGAGGTTGGCTCATCGCTAGAATTGAACCAAACGCGTGTGGTCAGTCTGAAAACGATTTTTCGAAACGATCTTCGGGTAAATTCGGAGCGCAACACGACGATCCATATAATTTGTATAAATATTTTATTTTCTTTCGTAAAAATTCGATTAAAAATAAGTTTACTTATTTGTGAATTATATAATCTCCATTTTGCAAATCAAAAAACAGGTATTCTACGTATAATTCGTGAAATTTTTTTTTTTTTGTTATAACAACCGAAGACAAAAAATTTGGTTGTGTCTGTTCATAATTATTACCGAGACACAGTTTCCATAAACATTATATCAGAAAGGATGTATAGCTAACGGTGTACTTAACGATATTTTGTAATTAAACGTATGCAAATTTAAACTTTGCTAGACCCGGTCGTAATCATAGTCTTGTTAAAATTAATTGACAATTGTTAAAAAGAAAAAACATTTCGACGGACGAAATATTTATTCGTACTCTTCTCAGAACAAATAAAATGATTAGTTTATATATAAAAAAGAAAAAAGTAGAATCCTTTGACACCTGTATCTCGATTTAATGAAAAATCGATTGTTCTTCAAAAATAATCTCATTTCACATCATTCATTTCTCACTTGTTGCTAATAAATATTTTGTATAAAAATTGTTTATTATATACTATATAAAATAACATTTTGAATAAGACAATCGTTTGAACGTATTTTCTTGGATAAATTAATTTAGCAGCATGAACAATATTTTTAAACTGAACATATAAAAATTATACCTCTTTAAAACAAATAAAATTTAAAATATTTTGTATAGTTATGATGCATTACAATGGTTAAGATAGTTTCAAAATAACTTCACAAGAAATTTTTCTTTTCTTATTATATCTTTTCGTTATTATTATCTATTATATTATCTTCATTCTCTTCTGTTCTGTTTTATATTTAACACTTCTTTCGTATTCCTTTTCGCGAAATCAGCTGATCATATATTTACATAACAAAATATAATGAGGTTAGTATTAGTGTTATGAAAATTATGTTTGGTCATCTATCATCGGTAGATTCAACGAGTGGCATTCAACTAATTTCGTAAGTATTATTGAAATTTTGAGGACATATACATCATACATCATTATTTTTTTTTTTTTTTGGTTTAATATATAAATTTATTATTTTTTTTCGGAATTAATTTTTATATCAATTATGTATCATATTAATATTAAAATTTTATTGTATCAAATCAGTTATTGAGTTATATCACGAATTCAAATTGATGCCAAAAGTTTCCAGCCAAACTATAAATCTATTTTAAAAAAAGTAATAATAAAATTTTTATTAATAATAATAAAATTTCTTTCATGAAAAATTTGATAATATGAATTTTATGAATCTTATAAATTTAATAATTTAATAAGTTGTACTATTGTGTTTATTATTTTATTTTTTAAAAATTATTTCAATAATGATTAATAATACTGTAATTGGAAACTTCTAGCAGCCATTGCATATTATGATTTATATATTTTCATGAATATTGAAACGTGACTATTATATTAAAAATTCGTATACATCAATTGGAATTCAAATTTCAAATTTTTAAACTTGATAATATTTTTGATTTTTATTTTTATTAAAATTTTTGTTTTTGTTAAATTTCTTTTACAAATTACATAAATAATAAAAGTTTGAAAAATTTTTTAAATAATGAGATTTTCTATATTGTTTAACAATTTTAATTTATTAAATTTAAATTCTACGTAAAATGTACTTATGAAGTTCCTCGTAGCTTTTTAATCTACGTAAAGCAATATATGAATTTAATAAAACATTAATAAATATTTAATTAACAAGTAAGATAGTGTATTTTGATGTGAAGTATAAAATTTTAAAATTAACTGCCATGCTACTCGTGTTTGACCAGTTTATTTTATATTTAAAGAAAATCGAAATATTAGAAAGAAATTTTTAATATTTCAATTAAATAGTAACTACGTTAAAATATTAATAAATTGATTTGTATAATGGTATATAATGATAAATTGAAAATAAAAATAAAGGAATACTTTATAAATAGTTGCAAATACAATTATACAAATATGTAAGTAATATGTAATTTTTCTCAAAGGCAGACATACATAGTGGGCCAAAAATCATGATGCAGTGAACAAATGGGATAAATTCAAAGAAAGAAAAAGATAAAAAAAAAAAGAAGAAATATAATTCAAAAATTGAATTTTAGAGCTACATTATACATTATTTAATAATCCATTTGATTAATAATAAAAAATAAGAAAATTATCCTATTTTTCATTGTACCATTTCAAAATAAATATTCTCTATATTCAAAAGATGGAAGTTCTTCATTTATCCGCAGGAATTATCTGTGAAATATAGTGCCTTTCTAGCCACTTACAGTTAGAGCGAGAAATTATTAATAATGTAACACGCATAGTGCAACGATTAACAATTATTAAAAGCACCTTGCGTCTTTTCGACGATATTGCAAAATTTAAAAATAAATATTGAATATTGCTATTTACTCTTTGCTTTAACAAATAATTTTCATGCAAGGCAAAGTACTGTTCTTTGTCTTCCTGCTTATAATTAAAAACTATAAAATAGCGCTGAGGATCAAGCAAAGTGTTCAAAAAAGGAATCATATTAGATTTTATGCAACCATTTGATAGAATTTCTGTCAAAATTTAAAAATCTTTGATAACATATTTTTTTGGTAATTATTTTAGAAAATAGAAATTTTACATTACTGTTCGAAATGATTAAGAAATTAACGATTAATAATTTTTAATAGAATTATATAATAATTTTTTTACATTTTTTAATTTTTTAACTAAAAAATTAATAGTATTTATGTTACTTGAACAAACATACGACATTTTTTGCTATAATGTAATTTTTTGATCGTTTCGAGCAGTATATATTATAGCAATTAGTACTACAATATAATATATATTAACAATACAAATTCAAATGAGCTTCGTGCTCTTTTCTTTTCTTAATAAAGTTGATCATACAATAATTCTAGTGCCTTACACAAGAAGTCTTTTATTTGGAAACAAATAGCTGCAAATAGCTGCAAATAAAATCTTTTTCGTAATTAAAGTCACTATCATAATAATAATGCAAAATTTTTTTTTAATAAATTTCAGAACTTAAAAAATTTACTCAAAATTAGCAATACAATAGCGTTTTTCTAGTTAATATATAATAATTTCGAAAACAGATATCTCTATTTAAATATTAGGATATCTGCTCATATATAAATGTGATCACTGATTTTAATTGAAAAAATAAATTATTTGAAAGAGTCTTTGGGAAATAATGAATAAATAATTAATATTAAATTTCACAATTAAAATTTTATATATATATTTAAATTAAAAATAATATGATCGTAAATAATTATTCAAATCATGCAGCAATAATTTATAGAAATTATTTAAATTTTATTATTTATTATATAAATATTTTACTTCCCTGATGTAAACCTGATGAATTAGGAAATTTACAAATCTGCAAGAAATCTAATATTTTAAAAAATTTCTATTTTTAAAAAGACTCTTCAAATTTAATTTAGATTAAAAATTAATTACGTAAAAAAATTAAGAATTAAAAGATAATTCTTGAGTGATTTTTCGAATAAAAACATGGATTTGATAAGGAGGAAAAAAGATTTTGTAAATAATTTTGCTTTGCTTTATCAATAATTTTTTGCTTCACGAATCTCATTGCGATAATTCTGTTATAATTAAGATAAGATGTATAATACATAATGTAAATAAGAAATAACAGTAGGTCCAAATAATTAATTAATTTAATTAAAAAACCTTGAATGATGAAGATTTTAATTGATGAATCATAACGAATCGAACCAAGATTATTAAAAATATTATTATATCGATGAAAATAGAGAATTTTGCAACTTTTATGATATGAAATTTCAAGGTTTTTGCTATAAATAATTTCAATTGTGTTTTACTTAATGCTACTGATGTAAAAAGCATATTGTACATATATTTCCATATATTTGTTGTCTGTGTAAAAGAAATATTTAACAGATTGTTAAAAAGAACATAAAGTATTATTTAAAATGATACATCGCAAACTTATTGATATTGAGACAAATGACATAGATCACGATGCATTACATTTTTAATGGCAATTTAATGTTTTTGAAACATTTTAACGGAATTGAAAATCACAATAGAATAAAGTGTCTTTAATATATGTATAAAACTTTTAAAAATCACCAAATTATGAACATTTTACAATTTTTTTTTTAATCAATAAAAGGATCGATGAAGTGATATAAATATTGTATATAGATACGACAAATGTGTCTTGGACATTTATGAAGCGTTTAAATGTAAATATAAAAAGTAATAAAAAATGTTTTAAGATATGCAGTATTGCATACAAAAAAGTGATTTCTTCACAAATCATTGTGAAGAAATTTTATAAAAGGTAATAAAAATTGTTTCACTATGTGAAAAAAAATTTCACTACGTATTATTTTTTTTCTAGAAGAAATCACTTCAGTTTAATGCAAACTACTTATTTTGGAACATTTTATATAGATATACGGTTGCGCCGATGACCAGCAATGTTATTATTACTTACAAATAAAAGAGGTAGTAACAAGAATTATAATTAGTAGATATGTAATAAAGAGTAATAAAAATGATTGATTAAGAATGGCAGTGTAAAAAATATAAACAATGATATTATAGTCACCTCTTCTGAGAACTTGTATTAATGCTATTTTCAATATGTAATTGTATTTAGTACTGGGCAGAATAATCATACTTATGGCGACGATTATGTATACCGAAATGCTACAAAGTTCTCGCCTTTCATTTTTACAAAAGAAAGAAATATATGAAGCTGCAAATTTTTACGTGACTTCGTTATTTACTTCACCTTTCAACGATTGAAAACAACAATCTAATTAACAATCTAATTATGTTAAAATTAGAATTTTTTTCTTAATGAATAATAAGGTAAGTATATAGGAAAATTGGAAGAATAATATAAAAACAACGAAAAATAATTTGTTTAAAAAATTTTTTATTCTTTTGTATGTATTCTATTTGAATTTTTCATTTATTCATACAACACATTCGCATTTACACGATCAAAACATATTTTACATATCTGATTTATGCACACATATCACACATACGTACAATAATGTTTCATTTACAGAACAAATAGATTTTAGAAAATAATTATAAATTTCTTATAACAAAAATTTTGAGTTTAAAAATTTAGATTTAAACAAGAATTTTAAGTTACTAAAAAAA